TTCTCAGCCATCAGGCTTCGCTCTCTGGAATTATATTTGTATTTGTTCTTGTAATAGTCAGCATCCTTTACCAATCGTCCTCTGCATTCTTTGGAAAAATGATCGAGTTTTCCGCATCTAAAGCATCGGAGGTCATTTTTCTTTCCATCCTTGTCTTCTTTCGTCTCGTCTCTTTTGTCTTCTCTCCTTTCTTCTCTTTCTTCTCTCCTATCTCTTCTGTCTTCCCTCTGATGAAATTTGGATGGCTTTCTTTCATACGATGACTGGTATCTTTGCCTTTTGAATTCTTTTCGTTTGTAGGGTTTCTTGATGAACTTTCTCTGGAACTGCTTTGTGATCAAGGCCAAAGATTAGGCAAAAGCTTTAATTTCATCATCTGATTCAAAAGTTTCTTCTTCAGATTCCGATTCTACTACCAATGCTTTCTTGCCTTTCATTTTATGTTCTTTGGTAGAAGTCCTTGATTTTTCCTTTTCATCGGCAGCAAGGGCAAGAGGTCCACCAATGGAAACCTTCTTTTTCATTATGTCATTCTCTTGTGCTGCAAGCGTTCCATACAGGTCATGAAGTGACCAGCTGTCTAGGTCTTGGTTTGCTTGAAGGGACATAGACAGTTGAATGCATTCATCGCCCAGACTTTTTAGGAATAAAACGTTGTTTTCTTCCTTAGTTCTGGAGATGTCGTTTCGACGACATTGACTGATCAATGTGTTAAAATGATCATACGTCTTTTGTATTGGTTCATCGGGAAGGGCCTTGAAATTAGTATATTCGTTGAGACATTGTGCTCTACGAAATTTTTTTTTCATTTTTGCTCCTCTTTCCAGTTGGCTTGCTAGTTCATCCCATAGTTCCTTGGCAGTGGAACATGCATCGAGGGATTGGAAGATTTCATTAGGTATGGCCATGATTATCTATCGTTTGGCCTTCTTGTCTGTTTCTACTCTTTCCATGTCGTCTTCATCCCAATTCTTCTCATCCTTGGGCATATAGTAGGCAGGAATTTCAGCCATGGTGTTTGTTCCTGCAAACTCTTGGGACAAGAATTTGTGGAATGTAAGGACCCTCCATTACAGATCGAAGGAGGTTCCTGTCCATTCCTTCGAAGAAATTCAGCATTCTGACCTTCCATTGTGGATATTCTTCTCGTTGAAGAGTTGGAGGATTTGTGTTTTGACGAGGAAGAAGATCAAAAATTGAGAGATTTTTGTTTGATCGTCTTGATTGGAAAATCAATCAATCGGCTCTGATACCAATTGTTGATTCCAAATCTCTCAATAACACTAATAATCTATATAATAATAACCAAATTATAGTGATTTGATGAATAAAGTGATGAACACTCAAGAAGAAATATAAACAATTAAGAACAATCTTGAGTGTCAAAAATTTCACTTTATAAATAATAAAAAATGTAAAAGCGACTTTTTACAATAGACCTAACCACCTATTTATACTAATAAGTTAATAAGAAGATAACTATCTAGTGAGACATTTTAGCTAATCTTCTATTAACAGATAACGTTTATCTAAACTATGGATAAGCTTTAATATCAAAGATAAACTCGAAGTCTAGCTGTTGACTTGTCATCTCCAGCTGTCATTCATGGTGTGATGGATCATCCTTATCTTTAAGTCTTCATCGCATGCTTCAGGATGAATTTTTGGATAATTCTCTAAGTGTAGATGAACAGAGGGTCGATGGAGATGTACTTTCCCTCGCATCCTTGGTCGTCCATCGGTCCTCTGGTTGTGCTCCAGACTTAGCCGTTTCTGCCTTAATGTCTTCATCGGTCTTCTAGTTCTTCATCACTTATTGTTTTTCATTACTTTTTACATTATGAATTATGGGGTTTAACATCCACGATCTTTGAACTCTAAGAAAGTAGGAGAAAACCACATTGCATGTGGAATTTAATCATTAA